CACAGAGATGAAGGTAGGCAGATGACCGCTGCAGCAATGAACCTCAAGTGTTTCGGAATGCTGAAGAAGAACAACAACAACGTCTGTAATAGAAAAGATTTACCTACCGAATGGGGTAGATGAAATTTAGAAATGCGTAGTGTGTTTCCTGGCACTGAAAAAGTTAAATATCAAACCTGGCAGTATCCACAGGTTTTGGATTGTATGTCCCATCCAGATCCATTGACGTCTGCCTCAACCAGCTGTCGTCATGGTGACTGGTAGTGTAGTCAGGTGATAAGGCACAGCCAATTGCAGACAAGCAGGGCAAGGCTTTGGAGAAGAGTTCTGGGTCATAGGCCTGCAAATGTCAATGTTTAAGATGCAAAAGTAAGAGCAAAGCAAACACCAGATAAAAGCTAAAACCTAACAAAAGTAGCAAACTTTTTATAAATAAACAATTAACTAATAACTACTCACACAGCAATGCATGATACTCTGAAACAAGCCTGGTGAAAATAATTAAGATTACGACACGTTATGTTTTGCACACACATTCCCTAAAACCTTTATTAGTCAAATCCAAACTGCAGGCGAAGACCAAGAAAAATATGGATTGAAGGAGTAACTGACACATTGAGACAGCCTATCAAGTGATCGTGCGCACCCTGGCTCGGCTGCCAATCATCTGATGAACTGCGACGCCCAGCGGCATAAGCAGATACTGACCAAAAAAAAAAAAAGAAGAATATATATCACTATACAGCCAAAACTTTTTATGTGAAAGGTTTCAGCTTTCTCATGTACAGTTTGAAAACTTCTCAAAATTAATTTGGTCCATACCCCAGAAAAAAAATGCCATCCTAAAAGAGCTAATACTGCACGAGGCATGTCACAGGAGGCAACTAAGGATGGTTGGCACAGGTTTAGCTACCTTAAAGAATGTGTGTGACTACCTCATCTCAAGAATACTTTAGCTGCAAAAATCCAGCCAATCATGAATACGTACATCTAAAAAGAACTTGGTGTGAGTTAGTTAAGGGCCTTTGCTATTTTGGCAGATGAAAATCGGACAAAGAAAATACAAATATGAGCAAGGTTATATAGGACAAAAGCACTCTTAAGTTGAGTATCAACACTTTAAACACTTTACCCTTTTGGCCAGTGCATCAAAAATGCCTTGAAACAGCATCATGGTCAGTCTCTTCTCCTCTTCACTGGCCACTGAGCCTCTACCAGCTCCTGTTGCATAATAGCTGCCACTTCTTTCATAGTGGCATGTCAACACCTGTAATCAAACAAAATAAATATATTTTAGACAATGGTAGTGCCAATACTTCTCAAAATGACTCTGGAATGCCACTTTTTCATTTTGGCAATATCAACCCAACTGCCTATTCCCCCAAGTGCTCATTTTATGAATTTGTTTTAAATATAATACTGTTCTGGCCCTATCAAACACTGTGAAAGTGTAAACAGTACGGGCAATGCCTTAAAGCCAAGATATCAGCCTTACTGGGATTTCTAAAAAGCTGAAATATCAAAGTCTCAGGGTAAAAGGGTTAAGGCAACTGGTTTTGCAGATACAAACAATATCGCTAGATACTCATTTACTTGATATGCCTGCTAATTTATTGGCAATTCTTTCAAATACCTTTAAATCTGTGATATAATTTTTTAAACTGACCTCAGAAATTTGTCTATAGGAAATATACATATATTTCATGATCTGAACATTGAGGTAAACTGGCTCAAAAACAGCATCTTGCCCCTGAATGCTTAGGTATTTTGGCCATGTTCATTGTTATATGTTGGCCTGGAGAGAACAGTGATGACAGAAGGTACTGTTTCTGAACAAAACCGTAGAGGCAGACCTCTGTGAAGGTGGATACGTGATATTAAAGACATTGGCTATGAAAGCACATGGGGCTGGAGAACTGACTAGAGAAAGAATGACTTTCAGGTGTGCTGTGACATGACTGATGTTCTGTACACAACCTACAGATTGACGATGATGCATTTATTAATGACATCACCAAAACAACAACAACACCAACAACAATAACAACAACAAAACTAAATTTCTTATCTGCTGAATATACATTAAATCTTCTGTAAGAGCTATCTTTTTCATCATCTTGATGCATCATCTGTACTACACAGAGGGTTTTCAGCTAATTCTTTTCTTTTCTTCTATCCTGTAACATTTGTTTAAAATCACAAATGAAATCTAGATAGCATCTTTGGTCTCTCTTAGAATTCACCACAAAGAACCGGTATCTTAAAGGCACAAAAAGAGACACTTGTGAAAGTGATAATTATGGGGAAATAAATCAAAAAGCGAAGGTTTTTACCTTTATTCAAGTTTAACCCAGTCAACAACTTGTCCTTTAGAGGTAAACTTTTAACCTGAATGACCAATGATCTTTGTGATGATTATTACATTTAAAAATGATTGACAAATGACAGTTCTCTTTGCTGCACATTTCCAAAGACACTTTAGCAGACTACGTGGTAAACTTACAAAATTTGAAAAAATAACAAAACTCTGCAGGTGATTTGGTAATGAATATGTTTCACTGAAGCATCTGAAAATGTTACAGCAATAAATTTACTCACTAGAAAGCTTACATACTCACATTATTTTGTGCAGCAACTTACCCTGAGTGGAACTACAGCATGTTCTGACAATGCAGGCACATCAACAGTCAGTTTCCGAAGTAGGTTAGTCATAAGTGGCAGACGAAGCTCTCTGGCAAAGAAATTTCAGAACAGATATGGCACATGATAGTATATTAAAACATGAATATGCACGGAGTCATTGTGGCGTAGCGGCTAGACGCTCGTGTGTGGATCCAAAGGTCGTGGGTTCGCTCCCTGGCAGAGCCAGACTTTTTTCAAAATGACCTTGACTCCCAGGTCAACCCGGTCTTGAGGGGGTACCGGGTGCAGTCCCAGGAAGTAAAGGCAGCCAGCGTGATGCTGACCACATCACCCATCTTGTGTCAATTTGTCTATAAAAATATAGGTCTAGCCCTATATGCCCTATATGACTTAAGGCATGGAAAAGGGTCCTTAACGTTTTTTACTTACAATCTTATACAATTAATTCATAAGCTATACAATATGGAATAACCAAATTTAATTAATAGGGAACATATCCATTAATGAACTAGAAGAAACTCTATATATTGTGATGGCCCTTTGCGAGCGTGTGAACAGTTCGGAGGTGCAGATAGATCATTACAGTCTAAGAAGAATGACGCTGCGAACAGTTACTAGGGGATCTGGCTGACACCCAACACTCAGGGGAAGGATGAGATGGATATACAATCAGATGGTTACTGATACGATCAGAATTGGAACTCTTATCTTGCTGCTGAAGATGGGGACTGAACACTTATTGGAGTGTCCCGAGTGATGTGATCTTGATTCTTAATTCAACATTCAACATTCAAGAAACTCTATATATAAAACCTGAATGGGTTGAAGAGGATAATATTATTTAAATTACAGCTAAGATAGTCTAACACAGTAGCTGCAATGGGAGTAATATCTTCTGTCATCACTCCATGGCTAAGTGGTTACGCCATGTGGCTTAAGCGCTGAAAGTCTGGGGTCATTTCATGAACTGCATCATTTATTTCATAAGTGCAGTTTTTACAAAGATCCCTGGGGAACTGTGGAGTTCATGTTCTGCTGAGGGATACCCAGTGATATAGGAAGAAAAAATACAGATACAATGAATAGGATACATTCATCTTTATACATTTAGGCGACAGCACTAACTTTCATAGGAGTTTGCAGTTATTATTGAACCAGTATCTTTGTGACTATCTGAAAATCACAGAGACGACATGGAAGATGATTAAATAAAAATAAAAACATAAAATGACTTCAAGAAATGTACATACTGAGTGAAAGACACTAGGAAGTCAGAGGCCATTTCCTGTTGACCCTTGGTGAGGGTTCGACACTTGGACAGCCTGTAGCAGGTCTGCAGCATTGTTTCCAGTAACACCGATGCATGTTCCGACTCACGGAAATAGTGGCTGTGTTTCATCAGCAAGGGAAGTACAGACGTACAGAGGTATCTGTTCAAAGCCAATGCCATATCACTTTCTGAAGCTGCAGCCTGGTAGAGTTCAAATCAACCATACAAATGAACAGTTATGTGTATGTTCATTTTATTAAAATAGCACAATTGAGAATATCTTCTTCAGCATTCTGAGTCCTTGAGGTAAGGTTCACTATTGCAGATATCACCCAACTCCATTCGTCTCTTTATTATATCCATATCATGCATTTTAGATAACAGGCATTGGTACTCTGAAAAACGAGTGCTTAGAAGAACCGAATGTCAGATGGGCCTGCGTGCCCAATTTGTAACCCTTTAAAAATAAAGTTTTTTTGTTTGTTCGTTCTGTAATCACCTTCTCTTTCTAGTTGGTTACTCCAAGTGTTTGTAGGTCTCCTCTACAATAGACACTTTACGATCAGTACCAGCACCTTTTCTTGACATTTTGTGGTGTTTACGGCACTTTTTTTTTTCTAGAAAAAAAAACCAGCCCTGGAAATATACACACAGAAAAAATAGTCTGAAATTGAATGAATAAATTTTTGAATCAAGAACTGACATCAATAACTTGGGACAGTCCCACACACGCTTTGTGTCCCCTTCTTCAGTAGCTAAAAAAGAGTCAACAGGCTAATAGTAACAGTGAGACCTGATTAAAAGTTCACCTATGTTTCCGGCTCAGTGTTTACTATCTTATATAACTTCTACTCACCGGCTGTTGAATTAGTCTGGCGATCAAACTTAAAATCAAACACAGAAAAAGATTAATAGAGACAGAAGAAAATGGTACAGACCAACACAAAAAAATGTGAAAAAAAATGACAACAGGCAGTAAATAACAAGTAATTTTAAAAGAGATAACAGAGGACATCAGCACCATTGGAGATAAAAGGCACAAGAAGACGACAATTGCTCCAAAATGAGGAAAATATATTGGACGTACCATATCTAGTGTAGTGGCCGCTCTTAGATCTGGTAGGAAGGCATCATCAAGCAGTCTGTAGAAGGTTGCCTGATCATCAATGTCATAAACTCTGTCAAGGAACATGACAATCGATGCCTTGTGACTTGGCAATAATCCCGGAGGCATATCGTCACCTCCAGGTCCCCCATTTCCTGTAATGAGTAATCAAAAAATGATTATCAGCAAAATAGATAAGACACAATTATAACTGCATTCTTTTTCCTCTTCTGCATGTCCTCTTAAAAAGGAAGAGGGCACATTATATTGTGGTTTACAGCTAGGCTGCAATATCAGCCTCTTTCAGCCCAACATATACATTTTCAGAAAACCTCTAATTAGTCCCCTTTACAACATGCTGGTGGGGGGGGGGGGGGGGGGGGTTCTTTACCTCCCCTCACCCAAAAATATGTTTTGCAGCCTGAAGGTCTTGACAGTCCCCTGTGGTAGACTAGACTCTCTCATTATGAAGCAAACCTTGGAAATGCAGCCTCTAATAGCTTCATGCTGTCAGCTCAAAAGTTAGGGGGCTGCGTGGTCTCAAAGTATGGTGTCCTCCTTGAGTGCTAGACGTTCCAGGCTCAATCCTTGGTAAGGTCTGGGATTTTTGTCATGTGGACTAAGACTTCTAGTAATTCCCCCTGGTCTCTGGATAGTGAGATCGGACACCCGTCTGCATTGTTGCGCAAGTAAAAAATACTTTGGCAGTTGGAAATCAAAAAGAGTAGCCTAACAGCACTGCCTGTTCAAAATTTGGAGTTTAAAATCTATTTCAGGATCCTCACTGGTGCTAGAGAGCCTGTGCACTGTGCTGAGCTTCTTCTGACTCAGACTTGAGTTAGAACAAAGAACGGAGCACTTAAGGGTTTCTACCCGTTTGTAATGATGTTGATCCGTTGTTTAAAACCAGATCAAAAGTTAAAATTGTATTTTGATTTCTCTGCTTATGCTGCCTCCTTACGGCGCCATCTGATGCGGCTGCCTCTTTTTATCATAGCATGGCATGGCCCTGGTCTTGAGTTTGAATCCACATGAGTCCATAATTTCTTTTTTGGTGCTTTTTTTAAGGCGACCACAAATGACATCACGGGACAGTCCATTATTTTAGAGGGTGGTAAGCTTAGGTTTTCCATGGGTCCTGTGCTTTAGCGCATTTCTTTCAAGGCCAAGGTTTTTGCACATTTACCTTACCCTAACCCTAACCAAACATATATGTTTAATCTACCACCCACTGAACCATGTTACCGTAGCGTGAGTTGTGGATTTTCCCTGTTTGTGATCAGCTAATAAGAAAGTACCATTTTTTTAATGACAAGTTTAAAATGGGTATCTGGTAAAGTCCTAGGAAATCAAGTTGGCCAACATGATGCTGACTACATCACCTTTCGAGAACACAAAGAAAACAGAAAAAGAAGACTCAAACCTGTCGGATGCATTACTGCAGTGATCACATTGTTCCCTGTCAGAGGCCTGTGTGGCTATGGATGTACTGAGGGTGATGATAGTAACTGACACACTGACACTGAGATGACCGCGTAAGTGACAACACGGTCACAGCACACGGAGATGATGACTGGAAAGCGTGATGCATCAAGAAGGGACTCCAGGGTCCACGAGAAAATCAACCGGGAAGACAAAAGCGAGAGATGGATGGTTGAGGGGAGTTGCTGTAGAGAGCAGAATCAGGACAAAACGTTGTATTCTGACCACTAGAGTTTTGTAGTTGGCTTGGTTTAGAGACTTAGTGAGGGATAGGGTATTGTGAAGTGTGATGGACAGTTTAGTCTGTGATTATGTGCTAGCTTGACAGTATTCTAATTTAGACAGTATTCTAATTAAAGTAATATGCGTAGGCATTTTAACTTTGTATGTTGTGTAGCGATAGTCGGTGTGATTAACCAAATTTGCTAAAATACCATTGTCTGATTACTTATCTGTTTCCTAATTAGATGGTTCTTAAGGAGGTATTGATTGTGAAGAAGAAGAAGACAAGAGCTATGTCCTGGGTGCTGCACCAAGGTGAACCAGTTCTGTGACATGGTCTGTCTGAGCACGCTGTCCAAGGTGGTGCAGAGGCAGAGCAGTTTAGGTGTGGATTACATGGGTTCAGGAAAGACCTTGTATCAGAGGCTGTTAGTTCGGACCTGGTTAATGCCAGGAAGCAACCATAACACCAGGGCATGAGTGGTGACTTTAAAGCACTCCAGCAGTTTGTGCCAGGGTAAATAACATGAACCACCTCTGAGGTAAACTACCTTGTTCTTGAGGTCAGATTGAAGGCCTGAGTGTATACTCTGACGAAATTGCATTTGTTGTGTGTAGATAGACACATCGTCATGGTGTTTCATTTGTTGTGTGTAGATAGACACATTGTCATGGAGTTTCATTTGGTGTGTGTAGATAGACACATTGTCATGGAGTTTCATTTGTTTAGTGTAGATAGACACATTGTCATGGAGTTTCATTTGTTGTGTGTAGATAGACACATTGTCATGGAGTTTCATTTGTTTAGTGTAGATAGACACATTGTCATGGAGTTTCATTTGGTGTGTGTAGATAGACACATTGTCATGGAGTTTCATTTGTTGTGTGTAGATAGACACATTGTCATGGAGTTTCATATGGTGTGTGTAGATAGACACATTGTCATGGAGTTTCATATGGTGTGTGTAGATAGACACATTGTCATGGAGTTTTATTTGTTGTGTGTAGATAGACACATTGTCATGGAGTTTCATTTGTTGTGTGTAGATAGACACATTGTCATGGAGTTTCATTTGTTGTGTGTAGATAGACACATTGTCATGGAGTTTCATTTGTTGTGTGTAGATAGACACATTGTCATGGAGTTTCATTTGTTGTGTGTAGATAGACACATTGTCATGGAGTTTCAATTGTTGTGTGTAGATAGACATATTTTCATGGAGATTCATTTGTTGTGTGTAAATAGACACATTGTCATGGAGTTTCATTTGTTGTTTGTAGATAAACACATTGTCATGGAGTTTAGTTTGTTGTGTGTAGATAAACACATTGTCATGGAGTTTCATTTGTTGTGTGTAGATAGACACATTGTCATGGAGTTTCATTTGAGCCATTGTCATTAAAGAAGTAAACAGCTTCATGACATTCATCTCATATGTCTGTTGGTGAAATATACTTTGAGACAAGAAACAGTGTGATCTATTTATTTCAGTTTAAATAACTCGTATTATTGTAAACTCTTTATAGTAAAGTACCTGAGGAGATAAACAAAATATGTCAAACGAATTTTGCACTGTATTGTTTCTAAATTAGTAACTAAAGAAACAAGTTGACTGAGAGGGCTGCAGGAGGGGTTAGAAGAGATCAAATCAGAAATGAGGTCATAAGAAAAAGAAATTGGCACAGAAACAATTGTAACCTATATATACTAAGACAGCAAATCAAATATCTGAACAATTAGATAGAATTCCTTTTGATGCTGTACCATACAAGGCATACACCAAATAAGGAGAAGGACATAGAGCAGGCCTAATCAACTAAGTTTACTCAGGAGCAAACGTTTTGAACATGGGGATCATCATGAGCTACAGGCTTGAGCATAAGCATAGAAAGATCATTAATAAAGTACAATTGGCAATGATCCACGGGTCAGTTGCTAGGCGTCTGCAGGTCACATTAAACCAATGGGCCATCAGTTTTATATTCTTGATGTACAGCATAGGGTAGTCCCAGAAAACGATGGAAAGATAACATCAGAGAAACTCAGAAGCAGCACAATGTGTCTATGGTTGAGGTGACCAAAAGAACCAGAACCTAATAACTCCCTCAAACCCAAAACAGTAAAAGAGGAAGTTAAGAGGATTAACCCTACCAGACCGCTGGCCCAATTTTCCGGGAATTTTCTAACCTGACGGTATACCGCTGGCCCCATTTTTCGGGAATTTGCGTAGTACGTGAAAAATATGCGTCACAGACTAAGAATAACCAGCCAATCCCCATCTGACTTTGTGGTTAGTCATCGCGAATGACTTCCCACGTGTGTTAAGATTTCTTTGTGTGGTTTGATGTGAAACAAATTCTGAAAATTTTCAGTGAAACGAGCGGCTTCGACAAGAAAGTGACGTTAGGTCTAGGCATTTCACAGTCCAACAGGTGATCGATACTTTGGTTAGTTCAGACTGTGAATACGTTCATGAAGAATGTGTTCCCATTTGAAGTGACACAGTCAGTGAGGGCTAGAGTGAGGAGGAGAATTATGAAAATTATAGATTTAAAACTAGATCAATAGTAAGAGAAAGGGGCGTGTCCCTCAAACAGCAACATCTGGTGCTTACTTTGAGGATCAAGACTGATCCTACTAGGTGGATTGGCACACAAAGGTGGAAGATTGGCACTAGATGAAAGCTAAACCTATCTTCTACAATGTCTCCAAGTTTTATCTTATTCTAGCCACTTGTTTGCAGGTAACTAATATTTTCGTACATCATGTTGGTTTTTTCGTGGTAATGCCCAGGAGCTCAGGTTATAGGAACAGTTTGGTTCAGGGCCTCAGGTCTGGTAGGGTTAGGAAGTTTGTGCCTAATTATTTAAATTATCAAACCAGTCCAAAATAATAAAGTCATACCTTCTTCATCATCTTCTCGGGGACGGCTGACTGGCAAGATAAAAGACAACCCCAGAACACCCTCCAGATCTTCCATCGACACCAAACTCCTAAGAATGGCTCTAGCTCTCAGGGACTCACTTCTGCCAGCTTTGATAGCTTCTGCATCTGGGGCACACTTCCCTAGAAGGTCAACCAGGCTGGAGTAAAACTCCAAGATGGCACCACCGATGTCAATGTAGTCTTCATCGTCAGGAGGTGGCAGTGTATGGAATTTGTATTTACTGTAGAAAATTACAATTATACAGATTAAAAAAAAAAAAATTCGGTTCCTCATTAATATCTTACCCCATTTGACATCACAGGACAGTCCAACATTTTAGAGGGTGGTAAGACTGATCCTAACCCGAACTCACCTACATCCCACAAGAGAATGCAGCCTAGGTCCCATGAATGCATGCAGTCTAGGTCCCACAACTACAGGCAGCCTATCTACCACCCCCTGAAATATTAGACTGTCCCGTGACCTGTGGATTTCCCCTGAATGGGGTAGGATATTAATAAAGC